CTCATAAAGTATTTTTCTGAGGTCTGTCTTATCAGGTAAATTACTGTACACAGTGTATTCATTAATTTTCATTTTCATGTAGTAAAGGCTCTATGCCTTCATAAAGGACGTACTTTTCTTTTGTTTAAGGGTATTTGGGCAGATTATTCTCTGTTGTATTCTCAAGCAAACAATACATATAAGTACAGTACAATATTTTCTGAGGAAACACGCATACTTATCCTTTTTTAACCCCATTCCCGATAACCTGGCATTTTCACAAACTCGGCCACCCTTTGGTCCACATTAGGCTGAGTTTTCGAGGCTCTACTCCTATCACTGGTTTAACATTGAAATCCGTAAGTAATATAAGATGGGAGAGCAGAATAAAAATATCAAATATTTTAATGGACTTTTTTTAACTCCTGTCTACTATACAGAACTATCATAAAAACATACCAGTAAATTCTTATCGGTTGGGTTAAGTTATAAATCTACTCATGATTCACATAATAGGGCGAGGGTAGCCAAACATCTAGCAGGCAGGCGGCTAACAGCCCAGAATTGAACTTGGATAGAATTGGAAGTGTTATACGTGTAGCATCCACCCAAGGTCCTAGGCTTCCACCAGCTAAACTGGGTGAGGTTGGTGCTCTGTAAAGCGCATGCATGAATGAGTATAATCTGGCTGTTTGGAAGCTGACAATACAGTGCTTCCACTCCTCCACTAATATTCGAATATACAATAGTGATCTTATCGTTTTTTTTACACATAGTATAGAAATTTGTAATAAGATACATAATGTGGTTATAATAAAATATTGTGCGATTATTTTCATATAATTAAAATTAATATGTATTTATTTTTTAGAAAATACAAGGGAAGCAGTGCTTCCAATGACAGCACGCCACTTCACTAGATTATTCAACGTGCTTTTATTCAAGCATGTTGAATAGTCTAGTGTCTTCAATCAACACTTCATTGTGGTTTAAAAAAGTATGCTATATTTATTATCGTTTATTCAGAAATAACCAAGTTATTAAAAGAACTGTTGTTTAAAACCAAATGCTTTCAGGCCTAAAAGGTCAGAAGATTTTATCTTCAGGGTTTCTGAAGTTTACATATATTGACATTTTTTTAAGTGGAAGACAGATTATAATATAATAATAATTTAAGCATAATTAACAATTTGAGGTATTGAATTCTTTTAAAAAGGTGGTTACTAAAATAAACAAGTTTAAAAAATATAGTTTTTTTCTTTACATAAACAGTGCAGTTAGCAGAGAGATACAACGATCTTTCTTCACCACCTAATGCTTTCTGAGAAAAATTGTTTTTTAAACAAACATTTTCTACCTATTATTATAGGCCATCTTCAAATTTTTAAATTTGATAATAAATCGTTACAGAAATGGAATATTCAGATATTCAAATTTACATTTAAACTAAAATTGAATTAAAAATTTAAACTTGAACAAATAAAATAAATGTATAATAAGCAAAATATGATTAGCAAAAATAAAATTAAGAAATATTAAATAAAAAATATTATATTTTGTGTGTAGCGTCCTTGTAATCCAAAAAATAATTCTTGGTAGATGCCCAAACAGCAATTAGTTAGGAAAACATTATGGTTTATTTAAAATAATTTTTTATTCAAATGCATTTTGGGTTGGTTTATGTTCCCAAACTGAAATGCATTTGAATAAAAAATTGTTTTAAATAAACCATAATGTTTTCCTAACTAATTGCTGTTTGGTCATCTACCAAGAATTATTTTTTGGATTACAAGGACGCTACACACAGAATTTGAACATACAGCAACCATACCTTCTACATTTAACAATATTATATTTACTTAGAAGTTTTATCTAACATAAAAATAGAAGTAAAAAACAAAATTGATTGCAGGACTATGTAGGATTTAAGGGTTCTTATGCCCTGATTTCTTAAACAACAAACACGGAACTATTAATTAGGCATTAAAATATTTACAGTAGAGCGTCGATTATCCGAATGCCAATCAACTGAAACGTTGGTTAACCGAAAGCGTTCCAGTTGGACTGTGTCGTGCTGAATCAAACGTTTTTGATACGAGATTAACTTCTAAAGTATAATTTTTTGTTTTATATTTTTCAATATATTTATTTTGCTTTTACAAAATAAAGAAATAATTTTTAATGATGCAATAGCCATGATTATTATTATAAAAATTTTCGTTAAGCTTAATATTGACAAAAATTCAACGCAAAGTGACACACAATGGAGAAAAATTTAAACATGGGATATATTAATATACTATTATTGGGATATATTACTAATATACTCTATTAATTAATAACGTATTCTTTCATACATAATCAGTTATCTGAAAAATCGATTTTCCAAACAACCTCAGTCCCCCAATTGATTTGGATAATCGACACTCTACTGTATTAATCAAATGTTTTCCGTTCTTTTCATTGACCTTCATCAGCAAATATATATCCTTGTGAAGTTCAATGAAAAGGATGAAAAATGTTTGATTAGTAAATATTTTAATATTTTGTACAATAAACTGTATAACAAATATAGATTTGTTATACAGTTTATTTTACAAAATGTAATAATCTATTGTATATGTTTCTTCTTATCAGTTGACTGATGAGGGGCTATACGCCCGAAACGTGTAAAAGTACCTGTATCAACTGAATAAAGAGGAAAAATGCCAAGTGTTTTAATAATAACACAGTCTTGTGTTCAATAGTTAATAAATATGAAAACACGGTTTCAAAAAATGAATCAACTACAAGTTTATATTGTGTTTTTACTGTATATTATGTTTATATTAATTTAAATTACATAAAATGAGAAAAAAATTATATTAAAACAATAATTTATTTACCAAAAAGTGTTATTTCTGTATAATGAAATTTCCCTGTAGCAAACTTTTTTCAGGATTTAGTGACTTTGTTATATAGAAGTTTGACTGTATTTCTTTGGAATGTTAGATATTTAAAATTTCTACATTCAGTTACAAGATATTACTATTTTTATTGGTCATTTTTAATTTTTGAATTGTATAAAGTATAAATCTGTTTTATATTAATTATAACAACGTTCATATATAATTTAAAATATTGAAAAGGATTCCTGTTACTATGGCTCTTAGCCAATGAATAAGGCCATGGCATAACTTCAAAAACTATTTTATTGTAAGAGGAATGCTTGTGGAGCTATTCTGTTCTAGAACCGTTGTTTTTCCTTCCAGAGTTCTTATTGTGTTCTGTGTCTTTCAATTTATTTTTATTCAATTTATTTAATAAACATTGTTTTGTTTTAATAAAAATCATCCATCTTCATTTACTTTGTGATATTTTTGATGGAGGTACTATGATGATGCAGCAAGATGTATGAGCCTGATTACACTGACATAATTTGATGCAGCAGGAAACTATGGGGATTAGATTCTGAATTTATCATCCTCAGGATCCTTACAATTGATGATTGACTATGGCTATTGCAGCAGAAACTGCCCTGGAAATGCATCATCCTTCAGATATGTTGTCTAATTTGCAACTGTTGACCATCCAACCAACAGTTTACTTCTCTAGGCATGCCAGGGATCTCTGATTTGCCCTGATGAGAAGAATGAAGATGCTGCTGCTGGATAGATAACTGAATGGATTGCTCTTTACAATAGAGAGTGACAAAATCAAGTTTAACAGTATTCACTTCTTTTTGGAAGGTACAGCTAGATGTTAGTTTACTAACAACTGTCCATCCTTCATACATCCATCAATTAAACTGGAGATGATTGTGAAATTACCAGATACACCAAACTGCATTTGAGAGCTAAACTCAACCAGTGAGAGAAGACATCAAATCCTACAAATAAGACTTCATCATCATCATATGGCCCTAGAGAATACCAAGATCTTTTACTGCCATTACAATTGTACCCCACTCATTTCTATCCTGTAATTTTGTTTTCCATCATTTATTTTCAATTGCTCCAAATCTCATCTAATATACAGTCGACCCCCCCCTATAACATGGTAGATACGTTCCTGTTTTTATGAATCCAGCTTCTAGGAGTCCTTCTAGGAGCTTCTAGGAATCACAGCCCGGCATGTATGCGGTTTATGGACTACAGCTGTTTGAAAGGTTTCTTCCATAAAATTAATCAATTCTAGACTAATTTGACTCAACATTTCCAAAATACATATAATTTTTTGGGAATAATCCATATAAACTATGCTATAAACAAAAAATTGTAGGATTACTTATCAAGTGTACACTGTTTGACTACGCCATTGCTTAAGCTTGTTTTCGTTGTGGAGATTGTCATCGAATGGCGCTCGTGTGCT